CTTGTAAGCCCCTTCATGTTCTTGGCCCTAACTATTGGCTAGGCCAAAGGACACACATGCTAGAGCTCATTTAGAGACACATCTACCCTGACTGCCTTCCAGTATGCGTGTTTACTGGCCAGCTTAATTACAAGAACAGAACAGATAATGACCCTACTAAGGGGAAGGCAGCAATTACTTTGGGTTTCTGCAATAGTCACTGATCTTCACAAAAGTTTAGGAATCAAGTACCTTTGAGAATTCAACCCTGCAGTCAAATCTGACTGAAATTTGCATAAGCCTTGCTTTCTTTGCAAACCAAACTTACACAGCATCTTAATAAAGGATTTAACAAATAAGTGGACTGATTTTTTTTGGAAGTACGTAGATATTTCAAAAGCTGAAACAAAACCAGGTCATTGCAGCAACTGCATTTTCCAATACACACAAAAAACTTGGGTTTTTAAATGCCAACAGAATGATCTCCTACAACGACCAAACGACCATGTTTTATACAGTATAGGAATGATCTTCCTCTACAGTGATGTTAGCAAATAGCTAGATATTGTTGGATTGCTGCACTTCAGTGTCATCAGTAGATTTACTGTTATAACAGTAACTCATAGAACCATGTAGAATGAATCACAGAAAGGTCTGGGTTGGAAGGGACCTTAAAGGCCATCTAGTTCCAACGCCCCTTCCACCAGACCAGAGCCCCGTCCAACCTGACCTTGAACCCTGCCAGGGAAGGGGCAGCCACAAGTTCTCTGGGCACCCTGTGCCAGTGCCTCACCGCCATCATAGTGAAGGATTTCTTTCTCAGATCTAATCTAAACCTACCCTCTTTCAGTTTAAAGCCATTACCTCTTGTCCTACCCCTACATGCCCTTGTCAAAAGTCCCTCTCCAGTTTTCTTGTAGGCCCTGTTCAGGTACTGGAAGGCTCATCTTCCATAGGAGTCCCCTTTCCTAATACTTTTCCACTTTTCTAATACCTCAAGTCCTAATCTAATAGCAGCTTCTGTAAAACTTCTTCTTTCCTTCTCAAAATTCTTTTTTTGTTCTCGAAATAGTCCCCATTCTTCCTGAAGACGCTCTCTTTCTTCCAACAAATAGCAGTCCTGTAGTAACAGAGTGGTGTCATCATCACATGGAGACATAAGCTGTTGCTGCAGATGTAAAGCAACAAAAGACACAAACATTAGTTTAGGAGTGACTGTTAAGAGATGCAGTATATTTCCACAGATTCAATTTTATCAGAAAGATGGCTGAAGTTTAATACAAAAACAATGCAATAAGTACCAAGTTGGTGGCTGGTGTCAGGCATCTGACATCAGCCTTCCTCACCTTTATTTATCCGCAAAAATTATTCATACCAGGATTACAAGCTCATTACATTACTAACCAGCCCACTAGCACATCTATATTTAGACCAACCACTAAGATATTTTACTTAAAAGTCATTATCAAACAACTGAGAAAGGCTCAGAGGTGAGAAAAGTGGCACACTAAAAACCAACAAAGCTTAGATTCAGTTGAGAAAAAACAACAAAAATTAAAGCCCACTACCTGTAAGAGCTGTTGCTGAGTTTTGATCATTTCCTTACATTGCTGAATCTCTAACTCTAGCTTTTCAGTTTCCAGCTCATGGTCTTCTCTCGAAATGACATCTTTTCCATTCAAAGCTCCTGAATGTACACGGGACACTAAGGGAGAAAAAAGCTACTTAAAAACCAAAGGGGAAAAAAAAAAAAACAACACCCCTCACATCAGGGACTCCTAGCAACAGCAAAAGGTTTTAGACTGTTATTTGTTTCATCCTGAAAGACAGACAACACAGTGTATTCAAAATTACTTCTATCAGAGACAAGAGATTCAGAAATGGTGCTATACATGTAATAATGCACAAAATCCAGTTCAGAAAAAAGTGGCAACGGAAACATAGCTGTTTTACATCCCCAAGGTAAACCAAGTGTGTGCACTACAATAAAAATGTCACAAAACCCCCACTTGTTTCAGCAGTTATTTAAAAGAAAAATCAAGACAACAGAAGACTTCTTGTCATTGACATGCTGTTAGCCTAATCTTCGGAGCCCATTTTTGCAGGGCTTGTGTGTTCATAAAAATATGACAGCAACTATATTTATCACATATATAAAAAGAAAGCATTTCCTTCAAGCCCTGTGAAGGAGAAATGGAGCCAAGAGTACACCGTGTGCATATTTTCTCCCAGTAAGGGAACGAATTAGAAATAAATAAAATGTATTTTGTATAATTACATATTGCTTTATTTAATTTCATGCATAGCTACCATGGTGACTGTAACAAGCCAAGTCTTGATCCCCTGATGCCAATGCTTGAACATTAATTGAATCCTAAACTAGACTTCGGTCATCTCTATAAATCCAAAAAACAAAGGTGACTCCAAGAAAACAGCAAATACTTGAAACATTTTTCCTGATGCTTACAACTATTTTTTCAGTTAGTTACACCAAATCAAGTACTACTCAGAACAAGCATTCTTAAAATCCTTTTTATGATATAAACACTTTCTCATAGACCATCTGCTCTTTTATTTGCATGCATGACCTTCTCAGTCTTATTCTTGACTGCAAACATCCCTGTGGTAGCAGGAGCACTTGCTTGCATGGGAAAATAATACTAGGAAAGAATTTTATATATTTTTAGCCATCTTTTAATGCTGTTTAACAGCTGGAAATGAGGAGAGTGGAGCACCATTCCATCAGCCAGTTTGCTCCAGAATGCCACAAGAAGGCTCAGAGGTATGGATAGGGCAAGCCTAGACTCTGAGAAGGATTTACATATTTTGCATTCAATTACTTCAAATTGTTGCATCTGCATTACCTGAACACCTCAAGAAGGTGGGGAAAGGCAAAAAACATTACTACAGGGCATATACTTTCAAAAGAAAAATAATTATTTCTTCAGAAAGTTGTTTACTGTGTCAAACTACAATCACATCCTTTCTCACGGTAACATGCTCGGTATGCAATCACTTCCCTAACTACCTACAATTAAGACTCGCACAAAAAATGCCAATCACAAGAGTCTTTTCAGAAACTCTGCTGAGTCACAATTCCTTCCATTTTAGCTTCATTTTAGCTTAGTCAGTAAAGTAAATCCTAAGAGCATAATACCAAATGGAAGTATCAGTAGCATTTTGTTTGCACATGTACTACAGTTACACGTCACCTTGGTTATCCAGCTTTTCAACGTGATTTTTCAACATTCTCCATTGTTTTCTAATGCTGTTGGTAAGCTGCTCTCGCACAGTTTCACACGACAGTTCCCACATATTCTCTTTACTTAGCTCTCCGGTATCTTCCTCTAGGTCTGACAGCACCTGCAGAAGCAGAAACAAGAGTCTGCTGCAAGCCACCCCACCACTCTAAAGGCGTGGGTTTTTTTACTGAAATACGTATATGGATTTAGTTCACCAAAGAGAAGGAAAAACCTTGTATAAGGGAAAGATTTTTGCATCAAGGGAAATGTCTCGGAGTCTGTCACGGAGTTCAGTTCCCTGACTGCCTAATGCTGAAGAGACAGAAGCAACTTAGTAGTCCCCAGAACCCCACCACAGGCAGAGTGTCAGCTAGCAAGACTCACTCTCACATCTTCAATCTAGAGAAGTTCAGACTGCTGAGTTCTGCTGTCAAACTAAAGCTGTAGCTGCCTGTAAACTCATTACGCAGCATGACCAGAATTTAATACTTTCTCCTGTTGGGAAGTAAGTAATTTGTCCCTGCCTTATTTGTCTCGATGATTAAAAAAACCCAACAACACACTGAAGGTAGAGTGGAACTAGCACCTCCCTCTCCCACTTCCACTTTACACTACTGTTCAAACATCAGACCTGAACTCTGTCTCAAAGAGCTAAGACATAAAAGTCTAAATGGTGGAGAGAAGACTAGCCCAGGACCATTCAGCAGATTTAAAATGAAAAGCTGTAGCCGTTTGAATACCTGGCATGAATACTCCACTCCTCTCCAGCATCTAAACCATTCTAGACAATCCCCTTTATCTACAAGTAGATAAGAAAAAAGGGATGGGAAATACAAAACCAACAAGTTCAAAGGCATCAAAGCAATTCATTTACATATGCAACAAGCACTTTCTTTCAAACCTGGATCACAGGAGATCTTAAGGAGCAAAAACACTGCCACAGAAAAATCAGGTGTTTGGGTTTCGGGTTTTTTTATTTTTTTATTTTTTTAAACCCAAACGTTTTATACCACTTCATAAAGAAACATCATCTTTTCCTTATATTTATATGTGCTAACACAATGAAAGCTCTGTCTGGAGTAGGCCTCTAGATAGTACTGTGATGATATGACAGTCTGGCTGGTTTCATGGCTGTTATTTTGTGACACAAAGCAAAATGATAAATGATGTGACTACATCACTAGCTGCCACACTCCAAGGTGTATGCTTCCTTTTAAGAATCAGTATGAATTCGCATTTATAGGTAGAAATGTATGTTTTTATTCTGCAAGGGATTCAATAAGAGTTTCAATTTCATACTAAAATGCTAAAAAGCCAAAAACAAGCATGACTTATCAGATGCACTATTTTAAACAGAAATTTATTTTCAGACATTCAAAGCAAACCAGTACTTCTAAACAAAAACTAATCCACATAAAATACGCATTTTAAGTCTTAAATATGTATTTTATTTCTGCAAAGCTATAATTTTTGGCAACATTCTTCCTGTTCATATTAATTTGACAAATGTAAAAAAAAAATCTAAGCAATGCCCCACCATGATAAACTTTCCACTAATTCCATGAAATTGAACATGGCATGAAATTGAGTATATGGAAAAAAACATGAACCAAAACAACAACAACACCACAACCCAAAAATCCCACACCACCCTACACCCTTCTGAAATAACTAGATGCAAGTCTCAAGTGGAGTAAGTACTTCTATTATTCTACTACTATAAATTACTATTGTCCAGTAAGTAGCTGTTCTGCTTACTTTCACTTAGCACTATTACAAGAGGACTAATCAGAAGTTTCAGTGCAGGCTGAAACAGTTAAATACTTGTCTAACCCGCCAAGAACTTGATGATCTTAGAGGATTTTCCCAACCTCAATGATCCTATGATTCTACGATGCACAAGTTCATAAAGAGCCCCATTCCCACAACCGGGTTTTCACCAGTGTACTCAAGTTTGTGTCAAGCCCTCCTGGTCTCACTGGAATCCTAAATGCAGAAGGACCATTTACAGAACTGGTACCCGATTATGCTTTACACTGTAAATTGCACCCAACACCCATTACTGAAGATCAACTTCTTGTGGCTTAGCTCTAGTAATAATTAGATCTACTCATTTCCTACATGATGAACTTTTAAGACAAAGGTTAAACACACTGCACATTACCGACTATTTCACTAAATACACACAGGAGTTAATTCTGTGTGGTATATGGGGCAAGTCATCTTGTGAAGTTAAGAGTTTATTCACATCTTACAAAGAAGTGGCTGGAGAGAGTCTATTGCTTTTCTACACGGTGCATTCGCAGGCTGGACAAATGCACCCGAGCTGGCTCAGAAAGGCTGTAGCGCAGCAACTGGAGCAGGACAGTGGATCTTCTGAAATGCCAAGTACCAGATAAAACCAGCACACTCTGTCAGGCTCTATCTACACGTATTCCCACATACCAACATGTACTATATACTGCAATAGGAAATGCTTCATACTTTGTTCTGTAGAGTATCCATATCCTCTTAATATTCTATTACCAGTACACCATCAATCTTGCACGATTCTAGGAATCTAGCCTTTATGCATGTTTTCTATATTTCAATTCTTTCTTATACCCAGGGACACATTCTCTCTTATTGCTAACAGAAAGAAAGCTCAGTTAACTTTCTAGATTATTCCCTAACTTCACTCTGATATAAAAACATAACTGCAATTTCTAGCAGACAATCAGCAAATGGAATAAACAAACTCTGATAAACGATGAACATGCAATGTGCTGTTCCACAAAAATAAAATATCCTGTATACACAAAGAAATACTTAAAACTTGGAAAACAAAAAAACCACAAACCATTTTACTTGCAAATCAAACATCTTCCTTGAACATACCAGCAGCTGTGTAAAAGTAACTAATAGCTACTCTAATCCATGGACTAGAGGAGGGCACCCTACTTACATTTCCTGTACTCCCAGGGATTCTACAAGGAGCCTGGTTTCCTTGCATAAGCACCCTGAAAACTAGCTCAACATCTTAGTATGGAAGGCAGACAAAAATGCAAAATGCATCACTATGTAGAACTATATACAGGTACCTACTGCATTTAAAATTCATTAAAAGTATACACTGAGTATTGTTCACAGACAGTAGAACATTTAAACATGGACAGATTTCAAGCACAGCATAGGATGTGTGATACACCGCAAGTCTTGCAATAAGTTTACCTTTTTTTTCCCCCCCCTAATAATTAAATTACTCCAGCACTGTACCAAACTACCATGCAGATTTAATTTTAACTGAAGAATACTTACTGGCCCATCTTCACATCTTTCTTTAGGTTTCTGTTTCTGTGGTGGGAGAAGTGAAATAATCTCTTTCTTCATTTGCTGAAGAACTTTTTTCAGCTCAGCATTTTCCACTAAAAGCTGTTTTTGGCGTTGTTCATAATCACTTAACAGAACTTTGTACATTTCTTCTTCATTTCTGGAAGCAGAAATCTTACAGTAACAACATGACATCCATAGCAGATGCTTCAATTAATGTTGCTCCAAAATATCTACCTGGCTTCTGTCTTATCAGTCCTCCATGCACCTCTCTTCCCATCAGCTCTACCAACGTAATTTAGAACTTCCATAGCTACAAATGAAAAGGATATTTCAATGCGTGAAACAACATGCAAGGATCACAGAATGTTCGGGGTTGGAAGGGACCTCTGTGGGTCACCTTGTCCAACCCCTCTGCCGAAGTATATAAATATTCAGATGACACTGCATTTACACGTAGTTATTGTCAAGAGACCACATTACCCAAATATCCTTCTCAATCCTCAGACCCATGTGAGACCACATGGCCCCGCTCAACAAAGTAAGAGTAAGATAATCAAGGAAAGAAGATAATTTTTGTGTTTGGAAACTCAGAGGAATGTACTGTCATCCTGTTGTTTTTTTTAAAATACGTTTCTTAATGGCACCTTCATCCCTATTTCAGCTTTTAAAACAATCATGTATCAACTCTAACCTCTCTTACGGCAATAATGCCAGTCTTACCTCCAGTTTAGAGTAAGCAACATACTGATGTTTCACAAGGTGTTCCTTGAAACAAAGAAACATCTTCATCCACTTTTGGGAATAAATAAAAAAATCACTACAGTTTAGTGGGCCAAGTTCAATTCTAGTTAGCTATCAAGCAAAGAGTAACTAGATTTAAAAATCCTGTTATTCTGACCTCACTGATACTTGCACTAGTACTAGCCAACTGGAGTCAAGAACATGCCACAAGGAAGTTTGCCGACCTCAAGGTGAGGCTTCTAGAAGACTACCAAGCTCATACCCAAAGACCTTCTTCAGCAAAAACAGGTGTTCCTGCTACAGTGTTCTACCCCATTTTGGCTTACCCACAAGCAGTTTCAGAAAACTAAATGAGCAGAAAACCAACTTGGAAACAACATGAATAGTTTTCTTCCAGCTTCGTTCACTAAACCGGCTTACTAAAATACAACGACACTACAGGCACTACAGTTGGCAAATAGCAGAGTATTTTGGGGGTGGCATGAGGGATAACAGAGGAAGAGCAGGACTTCCCTCCCACTGGAGAAAAATGATATAAATACTCTAAGGCCAGATATATGAACCAAAAAGTGCAGATATCTTCAATTGCGTAACGCTGATAGCCATTTTCAACAACACACCACAAAAATCACTGTATTTCTGCTAAACAGCGCTGATGAATGTCTTGAACACAATTTTTGGTGTGCAGCACAACACAAGAGTATTCACATAAAGAAGATTTCTCCTCATTTCACATAGACATAACATCTAGTGCTATCTTACATCCTCTCTAAAATTTCTCTTCTTGTTAAACAGAAGTAGATTGTAGTATCTCAAGAGCAAAAAAGCTCATGTAGCATTCCTTCTCGACTAACTGCTGGGCATAACACAGTGTTTATGACACTATCCAAAGTCTTACGATGGTAGCAGTAGCAAGAAAGCAGAGGAGAGACAGCTCTAGCTTAGGAACTGGTGCCAAGTAATTCTCCCTAATAAAATAAACAAACCTCATTTTGTAGAGACCTCTATCTTGGTTTGTGGATGGTAAACAGTTTTATAGAACACAATATAAAAATTTATTTGCCTTACATAGCCAGCTAACATGAAATATTACATTCAGGACAAGGGGCAATGGGCACAAACTGAGGCACAGGAAGTTCCGTCTGAACATGAGGAAGAACTTCTTCCCTCTGAGGGTGACAGAGCACTGGAACAGGCTGCCCAGGGAGGTAGTGGAGTCTCCTTCTCTGGAGATATTCAAGACCCGCCTGGACAAGATCCTGTGCAGCCTGCTGTAGGTGACCCTGCTTCGGCAGGGGGGTTGGACTAGATGACCCACAGAGGTCCCTTCCAACCCCTACTATTCTGTGATTCTGTGATCTTTTATGTAACATTTTAACATCTAAAAAAATCTGCAAGAGAAGGGTCATATCGACTTTAAAGATACCCAGAACTAAATTTAAACATTTTTAACATATGGAATATGCTATTTTGCTGCAGTAAAATTCAGAGACACTTACCTATCTTTTTGTCCTTTTTGTTCATGACTAATTGATGTAAGCGTTCCTTTAATTTGTTATATTCTCGCTCCTTCCTCTTCATATCATGATTATACTGTGTAGCTCTACTTGAAATTATGTTCTGTAGCTTCTGTACCTAAAAACAACCCCAGAAAAACTGTACTTCTTTAACTGAACAACATACACAGTTTTTTAGAAAACCAAAACAAATAAGCAAAGCAAGATGACACTTCTATTAAACTGTACTTCTGCTGAAAGGAAGCAACAAAAGGAATCAGAACTCCTATCCCAACCTCAGATTGTCACCTCAGACATCACAGGGAATTTAGTTTCTTTTCTGCAGAAACCAAAAAAAACTAAAACACAATTGAACTCATGTTCTGGCAATTCACATAACCTTCTTTTAATGTCTTTATTGAACAGAGCCAAGAAAGATATTTTTAGCTTCAGTAATTAACGCTCAGGATCTAGTTTAACTCTAAAGTATGCTTGTTAGGTTTTCACTAAAAAAGATAAACTCTTCTTTGAGGCAACAGGATGCTGGAAGACAGACTATTCTATTTAGTCTAAAAGAACTTTAAAGCATACCACAAAGCACATTTTTAGCGTGTATTATCAACACCTGGGATTTTTTTTGAATCATCAGTTTTAATGTTACAAACATTAACGTCATAGCACATTCAATATTTTAAGCTGGAACTTTAGGATGTTCGCTATATATAGATAATATAGCAATTGATAACCGTATGAATATGTTTATGAACAAAGAACACTTACAGAAAGTTAGGAGCCACAGAAAGTACACTGGGGTGAAGGAGCACATTGGAAACAAATTCCAGACTAAGCAGTGTCTTGGATTTCAAAGTGTTTTCTGATCTCGGTTCTTCCAAGACTCACAAGTTTAATGAGACTGTGCTTTTGGGCTGGGTTTCCCCACCACCTCCCCTTTTTTTGGTCTTTTGCTCTCCTCTACAATATAACAAAAAAGCTCCTATACACGTAGATTTGAGGGAGCGACCGAATCCTTTTGCCCCCTCTTACTTTTTCAAGTAAGACAAGGCTATACTCAGAAGTATAGAAAGTCTCAGAAAAACTGCACGTGTGTTTCTGCAGTACTCTCTGCCATCACTATAACTTGGACCTAACCCTTACAGAACCTATTCATCCCTGTGGCACATGCCAGTTTCACTCTGGTGAAAGACAACATTTACCAATAAAAAAAAGCATTCAAACTGAACAATTACAAGACTAGGTAACGACTTGTGTTAATGTACAAGACAACTCACTTCATCCTTCTCATTTTTAAGTAACTGGTGCAAATTTCTGTTCTTGCTTTGCAGTTGTCTGTCTCTTTCCTGAAGTCCAACTATTTCCCTTTTAGATAATTCCAACTGTTCCTAGAAAAAGTGTTGATAGTTCAGCATCAGTAAGAATTAATAGCTAAGGATTAAAAAAAAAGCCCCAAACCAAACTGCTAAACCACCTCATGAGGTAAGTTTATGTATATATTTGATCTCTGATGCTTTGGGGATGATATTGCATTCTCAATGACAAGTTAGTTCTATTTCCCGGAGCAACACGTATCATTCTCCAGTGCAAGAAACACACCTGCTCACAAGAAACAAAAATTTAGCTTGGCATTTAACAGATATTATCTATACAGTTATTACTTTTTCAGTAAGTCGAGATTCTGTAAGCATATCTATACTGTGAGAATGAGGAGGATAAGCAACCTGTATGAATTTGGGACTACAGTCTTACTGGAGTGTTTCTGTTCAATAATCAAGCGAACAATTAACAGATAGGCAAACTCTGACCACAGCAAAGCAAGTGGGACATTTCACATATATAGAGTAAGGCTGGACAAATTATATCATTATCATAGATAATGCAAAACTAGCATTTTAGAAATCTTTTTCCACAAATATGAGAGTCAAACAAATCTGAAACTGCCACCTTAAATGACAGAGCCAAACACCACACACAAGCTCTTTTTCTCTGTATGTGTACTGAGCTACTAAGTGAGTAGAAACATTTAAGCAACAAGAACTTTTAAGGAAACCACACCTCACTATAGATAACACAGTAATGGAAGTCAAGAAGATTTATGCATGGTATCAAAGAATTTACATGAGAAATCTTACAAGGTGACAGCTAAATCAAATGCCCTGGGATTTAAGTAGTACTAACAATTTCCCCTGCCCCCACACACTTTAAAGCCATTTGTCTAGGGGAAGTAAGAGGAGTGTTCTCGAACCTAACATTGTGTAGTGTTTGTATAAAAATGAATGCAGTTACACATCATTTTTAATGTCACATCGAAATGCTGCCACATGAATGACCAATCTCTGCACAACTACTATGATTTTGAGAATCTACAGCAGTATTTGTCAAGGAGACAGTGCTGGCCAGCCCTAGTGAAAAGCAAGCCTTAAAGGCCCTGAATCATGCACTGGAATTTTATTATTATTATTTTCTTGATAGAATCAAGGGAAAGACAACACTCAAAAATTACTGCACACACAAGTATCCATGAAGTAGCATAGGCTGTGAACTTCCAATGTATCAGTTACTGCACAGTGACTGGCCTTGTGCATGTATTTACCCTGTGATAAAATGAAGCTTAAATAACTTCAGTTTTGCCAACTACTGCTGAGCAATTCTTACAAAAAGACTTTGTAGTCAGCTATCCAAGGAATCCAACAACAACAAAAAAATACAAGGAAGAAGCTACAGATACGAAGAAGGGCTGGTAACAACCCTGTGACATACACTAGAAATGCTACCTAGACTTTTACTGGTTACAGTTATATTGGGAATTTATCTTTTAGAGATAGGCATATCCTTTTTAAGTGATACTGAATGATATGAACTGAAATGTTTAACACTTTCACCCACAGCATGCATTAACTCTTCCAGTCTGAACAGTCTTCCCTCTTCCTTTATTAAAGGGGCCATAATTCTAAATAAGTTTCCAGTTCTCTCAATTCCTATTTTGTTAACTTTAAGGAATTTTCAACAGGAAAAAAAAAAAAAAATCTTAAAAACACCAAAATGAACAGAAAAATACAACTGCAGATTTGTACTGGGAAAAAAAAAACCCACAAAAAAGCCTCACTTAAGAATGTACAGTATCTGTTAAACATAAGTGCTGTGTAATATTGGTGGAATTATCTTGTTTTCTACCTTTAATTTAGCGTAGCAGTTCTGTAAGTGATCCATATCACTACCCAGTTTCAGATGCTGCATTTCTACTTCTTCCTGAGCTCGAAGGTTCTTGTGCTGCAGTACAAGCAACTCATTCATGCAATTTATGATAGATATTAAATTTAATTCCTTTCCTTTGGATTCCACATAAATAGAAGGAAAGCCCAATGTTGTCAATTCCTGGTAAAAGACAAGGCAGGTGGGGAGGAAATAAATAACTGGATCAATCTGTTACAATTCTCCAGAAGAGAGAAACAATACCAGATGAAATACCACAAAAAAAAAAAAATCCTATTCCCCACCAATTTTGGCTTCTGAGCATTGAGTAAGAAGCCTTCTTTATCCAGGGAATCTTTACCACCACAGTTGATTTAGTATCACCTTCACACAACCTCCAACAAACAGAAGATCTGGCTTACCCTATCAAGATAGGATACACTCTGTTCAATATTCTCTTCTGTGCAGAAGGCACTGAAAAAGCTGTGCATGCTTTTGGATGAAGGCAGTGGCAGGCGTAGCACTTGTGAGTTCATGCCTGGGGGAGATATCTTTTTTCCTGAGGTATACTGAAAAATGTTTTCGCTATCTGAAGTTAAAAACATTAAGAAACAAGTCAGGGCTAATAGTTTAGGACATATCACATAGAAAAAAAAATCCTTAACTACTCAATTATTTACAGCAATTTACAATTCTAGAGCTTAGAACTTCATCTAGAATGACATATATTAAACACTTCACAGTAAAAAAAGGATGAACTTTCATTGAAGATTTAAAGACTCAATAACATTTTAAGGTGGTATATCTTTCAAATTTTACTCCTCTGCCAAGGAGTAAAACTGCCGAACATTTCTTCCTAATTGGCTTGCTACAACACTTTAAAAAAAAAAAAACTCATGTAAAAGCTGTGCATTTAGTGAAAATTCTTTTAGACTGTATGATATCCTTATTAATATTAAGTGTATGCTGTAATTTACTCTTCCACTAGGTAGAATCAGGCAAGAAAATATTCACTCCTTTAATAAATTTGTAATCAATTTATAAGGCAATACAATTTAGAACAAGTAAAGAAACCTCTGAAAATGCAAAATATCCTGAAAGGTGCGATTAAAAAAAAAAGTCTTAGAACCTTTATAGACACATGAAAGGACAGTATTTTACAGCAGCATTTCTGTAAGGACTCAATCCAAAACAAAACACTGTATGTAGTACACATTATTAACATTCTGCTTAACTAGTCAAGCATGTCATGCACAAAACTCCTATCTCTCTCTCTTTAGCAGCTATAACATCACTGTTAAAGTTCGCAAATCCACTAAATTCAAAATATTACCAGTTTACCTGATGACAGTACCGGCACAGTAATAGTCTTCCAGTCTCCCATAGCAACAAAGACAGGCAGGGTACCTGAGCAACTGGTTCACCAGTGAAGTTATTTAGTACAATTGCTGGCAACGTGTGTTACGTAGGCATCTCCTAAAATAGCAGGAGTATTTTAGATTAACAATAGCAGCTAATACAGCAAGATTAAAGCAAGCATAGGAGACTGACTACTGGACTTGAGCCACATGAAGTTTTTCTACTTCTTACACAGCATTTGGAACACTAAGCACAGCAAATATGCTGTAAAAGTGATGCATCTATCTATATTTAGTTAGCCTTAAACTTAACTAAGTCTTGTAAATCATTAAAGCTGAAATGCCATGAACATATGAAAATAACAGACTCACATTGTAGATAACTCAGTTGTTTCTGTTGATACACATCAGAGAAAACTCCGCAAGCCAAATACTGAATATATTCCTGCCATATAACCAGGAAGCAATTTTATTAGGATAAACTTACAGGAAGCTTGAACACAAATCTGAGTGGATTATTACCTAAAGAGAAATATAATAAAGGCTCTAAAAAAGATGTATCAGGAGTGGAAAGGAACTTCCAATAAATATTTAGCCATCTAGAGTTAATTTAACCTATACATTTAGTTATATTGCCTTTCCCTAGAAAGTTGCTTCCTTCTCTGCAGAATCTCTAAAATTGTTGAAGAAAACAAACAGGAGAAGCCTTACCCTGTTGGGACAGCCACTCAGTACAGCACCAGTCCTCTGGAAACAAAAGGAAAGTCACATGCTCATAAGAAAGAACAAAGCGATTGTCCCCTTGCCCCATCTCCCCCACCCAGTAAGAAGGCACGTAATAGCATTAGAGTTACCACAGTGCTGGAAACTTAAAATCCAGCTTGGATGCTTAAGATTTGGACAGCGTAACCCATCAGCCGTTACATGAACAATGATACAATGATTTGCTGATGACACCAAACTGGGAGGAGTGGTGGATACACCAGAAGGCTGTGCTGCCATTCAGCGAGACCTGGACAGGCTGGAGAGTTGGACAGAGAGGAACCTTATGAGGTTCAACAAGGCAAATGCAGGGTCCTGCACCTGGGGAGGAACAACCCCATGCATCAGTACAGGCTTGGGGCAGACTTGCTGGAGAACAGCTGTGCACAGAGGGACCTGGGTGTCCTGGTGGACGACAGGTTAACCATGAGCCAGCAGTGTGCCCTGGCTGCCAAGAAGGCCAGTGGCATCCTGGGGTGCATTAGGAAGAGTGTGGCCAGCAGGTCGAGGGAGGTTCTCCTTCCCCTCTACACTGCCCTAGTGAGGCCCCATCTGGAGTACTCTGTCCAGTTCTGGGCTCCTTGCTTCACGAAAGATGAGGAGCTACTGGAGAGAGTCC